TACCACTTGAGCCACAGATCCAGATCCAGGTTTTTGCTGGTAATTGGAGATAGTCTCCCAGGCTTTCCTGTCTGGGGTGGCTTTGGAACTGTGACCCTTGGATCTCAGCCTCCTGAGTAGCTAGGATTACAGGCATGAACTCTGGAAAGGGAAAATTCTTAGCTTGGCTGGGGTGGAGGGGAGGAGGGGTGGAGGCTGGGGGCCAGCGTGCTGTTCCCTAATCTCCAAAGGGTGAGGACGACAGGCAGACAGGATGTCCACCTCCGGCAGGCCCTGGAAGGTGAGCCAACTGTCACCATGAATATGGCTGGGTGTGGGTCCTGCTGGGAGAGATGTTCCTGCCGGAGACCGGCTCTTTATCTGCACTCATCCCACAGCGACGGCCGCTGTGGGAAGGAGCCAGCCCTGCATGCTGGGGAGAAGCCGCGGCGGCTCCTCTCCTGCGGGCTCCCAGGGAAGGTGGGAAGGTGTGCCCACGCCGCGGCTCTGGCCGCCTCTAGGAGTTTGGGAAGCTCCGTTGGGAGCCTGGGGTGGGGGGTGATCAACGGCTCCGGTGCCCCCCAAACCCAAGGGCATAGCACGGCTCTCAGACTGGGTTGTTTTTATTGTATTCAATGTCTTCTAGTTGTTTGGAACAAAAAACTTAAGACAATGACTTCAAACAAAACATGGTAAGTTCTAGACCTTGACTGGGTTTGTGAAATTGGGACTCCTACAGTTCCACTGTGCTTCACCCATGTTTGTGTCATTTCTTACCATTTTATTTTCACTCCCAACTTGCTAAATGGTCAGTCTGTGTCATGTGACGCTTTGCTTGAGGAAATACTGTCAGAAAACACACACACACACACACAAGATCGAAGCAGTTTGGTCCAGAGAAAATACTTAAAAGTTTTAAAAAAATGTGCATACAATAGATATACACATTTACAGATGCATTGCAATTTCTTTTTTTTTGGGGGTCCGGTTGTGGGGCCTGAACTCTGGGCCTGGGCACTGTCCCTCAGCTCTTCA